AATAGTGCCTTAGGGATTTTTTCTTCGACAGTAGTGCCACTCAACTTGATTTTTCCCCTATTTATACACCAAATATTCTATTACGATGGAACGCTATTGAGGACAGTAGGTCTTGTGCCCTGATAAGAGAGTATAGAAATGCAACCCTAATCCTGTCTACCTTTTCATTTAATATTTAACAAATCTATGTCCATTTGTTCAAATGAAAGAATGGGAAAACTCGAGAAAATATGCTGCTCGTAAACAGGGGGCATATGCCACTCACTCTACAGGGTCTAGTTATTTCAACATTAAAGAAACACTAAGGTATCTCATTAAACTATCTTCTGCTTATGTGTTCTTTGATTTCCAGTAAAAAGGTTCAAACTGCATTTGTGTTAACTTACTTTCTGCCTGAGAAAAGCTCAGTTTGCCCTTATATTATTTTCTGTTACCAACTGAAATGGCCTTCTAGCAAACCCTAGTGGCCAATTTAACTTGGAGCCAATTCTTTTCTACACTGTAATATGCAGAAGCACCCACAGAAGGATGCTATTAATAGTATAAAAGGGAAAAGGGATAGTCATCAGTTCACATAGCTAGAGACATATTTTCAGAATGAAAATATACCAGGACAATCACACACATATTTTAAATAATAAAGCATGTATGTCTTTTTGACATTAGTTTTAAAGCATTATCACCTATTCCTGAAGTGCTCTTTCAACAACATTTAAAAACTCAGAACTGGCCACATAGCTTTAAACGAGTTAACTAATGCTATTTTCCCATTAAGGATGAATCATTCTAATTTAATTTTTTAACAAATTACCATATGAGCCAGGCAGTTATATTAATGACTCACTCATGATGGAAACGATATTAAAAACAATTAGCTATGATTCTGCATCATGCAGAACCATGAAGAAAGGAAAATATGCCTAAGACTTTCCTCCAGAGCAGTTTGCTAATTTAATTGAAGGGAGGCACTGCATATTATTTGACTTCAGTTTCCTATTACCTTACCATTTATCAAGGGAATTGTCTCTATTTTTACAGAAAGGTAATAAAAAGTATCATTTTCCTAATAATATTGACTTTTCTTAAAATACATTAACATATGTAAGGGGACATATGTGAGCAGGAAAGGTGCCTGACTGAAGATCTGGAAAAATGAGATTCACTCTGAAAATAAAATCCCCTTAGTGTTAAAATTAGCATGCTACATACATCATACTCTGATCCATACCTCCATTTTAGATCATGTTCTACAATTCCGAAGGTGCCGTAATAACGGTAAACATTATTTCTGTGAATTTCCTACTATTCTAGAATAAAACCACCAGATGGCACCATGGAATTCACTAATTTCTCAAAAGCATTCATAGTAAAAGAAAGTCAACTTCTAAGAAGTTCCACTTCACTGAATACACCACATTCAGGTTTTTGCTGAACCCATTAAAAAGAATTCACAGTGAATGACATTGGAAGGAGAAGAATTAAAGGTTTCCAATTTGCTTACTAATTAAGTTTTGTGGTTCTCAAGCTACAAAGATTAAGCACAGGATATATGCAAAGTTTCAGGAATGCATAAAGCAGATAAATATATTTTTCAAATATTCATTTATTTAGAGGATCAAATTTTAACTCTTGTTAAAGAGATCTTGTATCATAGGACGGCATACAAAAGCTTTTAATAAATAACTACATAATAAATAAATAAATCTAGTACTTAAATTATTAGATTACCAAGGACTGTATGTGTTTGGGCCTCAAAAGGGAACACTGACATGTATGCCTGACAGACAGTATGAAGTTCTTCAACTGGACAGACCAGATATAAATTCCAGAAAATGTCACCTACTGTCATGATGCTGTAATTCGCCTTCTCTGCCCCTTGTTGGCCATCTGCACTGAAGTGAGATTAAATTATGTGACTTTTTTTGTCACACAGTACAACTTACAGTGAGAGGGAAAAGAAACTGGACTGAGTGCTTTTCTACATGAGGATGTTAATTACTGTATCTACTGTACTACTGTTTCTGTAGTGGACTGACAGCCAACCTCTACACAAAGATGTTTCTTTCCTGCTTCCGCACTACATAACCTCTAGGAGTGCCCCAAATGGACAAGGAGAACAATACCATTTTCCCCATTCTAAAACAAATCCACATTTTTGTACTTAAAATAAAGGAGGTGCTCTGAAAAAATAGAAATGAAATGGGAGGGTCATGCTGTTACCTAAAGGATCTCTAAACAAGCATTAGTAAGTTATCACACGCAAACCACAAAAGCCTTGTGTAGAAAAGCTTAGAGTGCCAAGTAGCTGTTGTAAATGACTGAGAAAGTGACTGGTAGAATTACTAGCTTAGGTTTCAATGGGTCTTACTGTGTTTTCGATAATAAGTGAGAGGGAAAAGTTATACATCCTCATTAGAGGACACTGATGGAAGGCCAGCTATAAATATTTGAAACAGAACTAAAAATAAACTGTAAGAAGCATGTTCCTTCCAGGAAAGGTTTTGGCAGCCTTCATCTGGAAGATTGGAAGCGGTTGTGCCCTTTTACCCCCATCGTCTTGACTATACCCAAGACAAAACATACTGTGAATACCCAGAGAGCTTCAGCTGTTTGGCTGTATAGAAATAAAATAAAATTGATGATGATAGAAACTGGTTTCCTACCTGGTTCAATCCTTTCTACCACCTCACTTTGCTCCTCTCACTTCAAATCATCCAACCCATGAATATTCAAGCATTAACTTTCCATAAACACAGCTGTGCTTCTAAAATAACAGGTATAAGACCTGCCTGGATATTGCCCTCCAAACCCTGAAAGCTCCTAGCCTACAATCCCCTTGCTTAACTCAATACCACATGCATACCTTTCCAGACTGGCTGGCACTACCTTTTCTCCTAGCTTAGTTACCCTCTCTGGTTTCTTCTCCAAGCTCATGTTACCTTCACCTGGTATTCTGCCTCACAGTTGCAATAACGGCAGGCAGATTTCTATGTAAGCCACCTCTGGTCGTAATAAGTAAATGCGGAGCGTACGACCAGGATCCCTATGGGGGGAATCAAAGTTTTCCATTTTATAATGGAAAATGCTCAGTTGTGGATAGCATCTCTTTTTAAGCCTTTAGGTGAAGAGGGGTCACTTGGAAGGTTGTTATTCTTCCCCAAGCCATAGAAAGAATTACAAGGTGAAAGCAACCCTTTTCTCTTCAGCAACAGGAGAAGAGGGAGGTTGTTTTTGTTTTGCAAGGGTATCGGGTTGCAGTGTGTAAGGGCCAGCTCTTGTGCCAGGTAACAATATCCATTCAGCAAACATGATTCACAGATAATGGATTCCTGTAATGTCCATATTCTTTCCAAACTAATATAATTACAAGCTACTTCCAGCTGTATTTATTTCATTTGATTCAGGCATCGTACTTTTTTTAGAAGGTGAAGAATGGCTTCAAATGCAGAAATGAAGTTAACACAGCAATTTAAGTCTGTGTTATAATTTCTCAAACAAGACGGGGTATTTAAATAAAGCGCTTTTACATCCATTTCTAATTTTATAAGTGCCTCTCGATGGAGCTTTCCATTAAGAGAAGTGTTTCTCTCCTGAATGGGACAAACCATGTAGAAATCTATCGGTCGGTCGGTCGGTCGGTCTACCTACCCATCCTTCTTCAAAGATATCTTTCTTTTAAAATAGTGTTTTTGCTGAATTTATGCCATTTTCAAATGTAGTGACAAATGATTTCCCCTCTATTTTATCTTCTCCTTTGAAACCAAAACAAAACTGAAAGTACCTTATTAAGTAGAGAATGTGACAAATGTTCATTATTTTTCTTTTTAAAAGCAAGAAAGAATGAGAACAAATTATCTGCATTAATAAAGACACTCAGTGAAAAAGATTTATTATATCCCATTTCCACCCCTTTCTAATGCAATTGTGACTGCAATCCAAATAAAGGGCTTATGTTATATTTGACATAGTGCTCCATTACTATACTGCTGTCCCAGTGTAGATTTCTTATAAAAGTCATGTTTGGCTCATGCTAAAAAATACTGTTCTGGGAAACACTGAGTCTCTGCTTTCCCATATTTTCTGGACATCAAATAAGATATAATTAGAGTCTTTTGATAGTCCTTTGTGGAAGTGATTGGATTTGTTGTTTCTCCCATTCATTAAGCTTCAAAAATAGTTTAAACAGATACAGTGCACTGTCTGTCTCCACCTCTGGTTCATCTAACCTGCCCTGTTGGTTCATCTGTAGCTGTTTCACTCTCTCAGATTCAAAAAACCACCCAACCATTTCACAGTAATAAAAACCATGTACCAAAAAGGTCCCAGTTTCACTCTTAACTCAGTGAGCAACCCTGCTGAGGTTATACCTTCTCTCTGCTTCAGACTGCCACCTGACCATGAGACTGACCCACCTGGCAGTGTGGTTGTACTTGGGATAATGTATTTTGCTGTGCTTGCACTATACACTCAAGCACCTTCTATGAATACTAAAGGCCCAGCTGCCCTTTATATGCTAAATCTGAGGCTGTTCTGAGGGGCTTTTAACACAGAGAAGTGGGGCACTCTTGCATGTATTAGCATGTGACTTGTTATTTGACTCCAAGTGCAGAGTTACAGAAGAGACTACCTCATGCAGAAGTGGATGAGCTAAGACCAAGAAATCATAACAGAAGATTTCTGTGGATCTGCAATGAGTAGAAGTCCTTAATAAATTCAACAAAATGTTGTGGCACCTTAAAGACTAACATAGTTGTTGTTGTTACATATTTATCATGTGGCATATGCATAATATGAAGGCAAGCCACTGGTTTACCCACCTCAATATTACTTACCCTAGTGGTACCAACTTTCTAGTTTTTCAGACAGGAGTACTTCTCAGCCCTATCTAAAGCTGCCAGATATCAAAACTGGGACCTTTTGCATGAAAGCAGGTGCTCAGTACGTGCCATAAGTATTTTCAAGTCAATAGAGGAGAAAGGAGTATCAAATAACATACATACTATGTGTCGTGCTGCGAACACACCATCGACAATTGCACAACAGAAAGCTGCTACCACTCCAAAGCTGATAAACACGATGGATGCTATCAACTAGAAAGAGAAAATGGGACAAATCATGTTTTCTATACAACTGTTGAAACTTGATTAAATTTTATTTATCACATATACCACCCAATTATCTGAATCTCTCCAGATACCTCACAACAATTAAACCATATGATAAATGATAACATAAAATTTAAATGTTTAAAATTATTGCATATAATCAAACTGAAAAAGCAAAGGAAAACTTAGCAGCAAGTCTGCTTAAATCTTAAATCTTTTAGATTTAAAAGCCAACAACACATTCAAAATTAGAAACTGAAATACTAGTGGAAATTAGGTCTTCACCGGGTTCTAAAACAATTGCTAGACTAGCCTCGTGGAGATTTCACTTCACAACCCAAAAAGGCCCTCTTCTTAATAGCCACCCACCTTACTTCTGCTGGTGGAGGCTTCTGGAGAAGCAAGCCACACCAAAGGAATAGCACTTCATTTGTTTCATGCATTTATTTCATCATTCATATTATATCAAAGGAAGCAAAAATTCTAGCAAGTGCGGTTAACTTTGAACACATGCGTAATACAGTCCATCAAAAGATTTTCAACAAACGCTATTTAAAACATTGCATTAAATAAGCCTGTAAATAGCTAAGAACATACCAAAGAAAAGTATCTCAGGAAATAATTCAAATCTGTAAGTGATCTGTGCAGACAGGGAGTGTGTAATCAGGGGTCTTCAATGTGGTGCCAGGAGTATCAATGTGCAAATGGACATGTCCCTTGGACCCTCCCCATTTTCCTCCCCCTCCCCATTTTCCTTTTCTTCTTAAGATTTTTCTTTTTAACAGGGAGGCTGGTATGCTTCAAAGCAAAGTGCTGAAACATCATGCTTATTTGGTTTCAAAAGAGGGATTTTGTGTTTGGGAACTGAGACCCTCAATCTCTGCTTTGTTGGGCAGATTACTTTTCTTCTAATCTTAGCAGTGCCTTCTGAGAAATAAATGTTTTGTACCTCACCATGCACAAAATGGTAGCCTTTTATGCATAATAACCCCACTCATAACAATCTTTTTGTGAGAGCACCCTCAGAATTCCAAATGTTCTGAACTCCCTACAAATTTAGACAACCCCTCACTCAGTCCATTCAATCTACCCCCCAGCACACAGCACAAAAGGGTATTTTATTTCATTGTTTATTTACCACATTTATACCCCATCTTTCCTCAAAGAAGTCCAAGGCAATATATATCATCCTCCTCATTTTATGGTCAATCCTGTGAGGTAGGTTAGGCAATGAGTCAGTGACTGGCCCGAAGTCACCCAGTGAGCTTCATGGCTGAGCAGAAAGTTGGAACTGGTGCCCCAGTCTCAATTCCAACCCTTTAACCACTGTACCGCATTGACTTTATAATGCTGAGATACTTTTTAACCTTCCCAAATAAATGTGTTGTAGATGAATATGAAAGACTTGCAAATATTGTGATGAGTCTTGAATGAATTCCTCAGAATCAGTAGCCTATTTTATTAAACAGGGAAAAACAACACCTACCTAATATGGTTATTGTGAGATAGGAGAATATAAAGTAGTTTCCCATTCATACTAAGTCTAGGACTAGTTCACACAATTAGCTAAGGCCTGTTTTACCCAACACAGCAGAATAAGGTGAATATCCTGGGAGTGGGGAGTTGTAACACCAGCTGCAATAAGGCTGCAGGCCTTAAATTTTTACAGAATTATATAATTAAAATTATGTAATTCCTGAATACAGCAGCAAATGGGCAAGACTTCATCTAAACAGAAGAGGAGCGCTAGAGTTGCTGTTTTACTTGCAACAGCTTTTTAAAATTCAAAACATTCATACCTCACCTGCAACCAAAAGTGGTATCATCTATTTTACTGCTTTATTCCACTGTATGTTGTAGAACTCACTGTTATTGAGTTGTATCTTCTTAAGCATGCTTCTATTTATTCATGATGCTGAATTAAAAGGTCCATACTTAAAAGCCATATACAACGATAGGCCAGTTATTTTTGTTGCTAAATATCTCTCTACCTATTAAGATAATCCCCAGACTCATTATTAAATACTGCTGTTCAAAACAGTCATCTTCTAAGAAATAGGAGTGTGTCCTTGGAAGGAGAGAGATTTATTACATGTTTAGAAAGAAAAGAGGAGGGCTGATAAATTTATTATTCCCTAGTAGTGATCATCACAAAGCTAACTCTTCTAGACCTAATCAGAGGCCAGTTCATACATTATTACCCTCTACATCTGGTGCCCTCCAGATGTTGCTACAACTCCATCTTCCAATACTGTGCTGGCTGGGGCAGATAGAACCTGTAATCCAAAGAACATGAAGAGTACTGTGTTGGGGAAGGCTGTGCTATGTAAAGCTTGTTTATCTGATGAGACCAGGGTAGGATTTTGGGGATGTGTGACTTCTCGCTGTCCTGAAGACAGGGAAATAAACTCATGTTTCTTTTCTGTATATTGCGAGACTAATACACAGCAGAATCGCTAGATAGGTTTAGTGCTGCAGTCCCATCCATATTACACTGCCTGGCAGAGTCATGACCAAGAAAACACATTTGTTACTATAGCAACTAATCAGCAATATAGGTTAATATCCTAGTAAAGGGTATGCAGAGATTGACATTCATTGCATCCTGTTTCAACTGCTGCTATCAGTATAGGGGCACCTGTTTTGTCAGCTCATAGCAGACAGTGGATAAGCAATTACCCATTAATTTACTGTGATACTAAGTCATATCTGCCGTGTGGCAGATTCCCCATCCCAATCGCCAATATACTGAAATGTGAGTTGTACCTCTACAGTGAAGCATTAAAAGACATGAGATCTTGCACGGGTGCCTACTTCTTTGCTATTAAGGCAGCTTATCGCTACAGTAGACTCCAAGTCTCGCAGTTTATGCTCCATCAACCTATTCTTTCCAAAGGTCGGTGGCTCAGTAATAGAACTGTTGTAATTGAGAGTTCAGTCAGGGGCTGTCATGCCAGACAAGATATGACTTTGTCATGGGTACTGGGTGTCCATTATTCATTTATGCCTATTCTAGCCAGAGCACTTGCAATTGTGCCAGAGCACAATTACAGTGGATTTCTAGTGAGAAAAGATGTGTTTGTAATTACCCTTCTGTCAAATTACTCCTTGTAGGAAACGGACAATATTTGTAAGATCATTTAATTATATTTTCTTTAAAATGTATAAAGCACCTCACTTGCTCAAATAGTCATCCAGATAGTTTAAAAATGTAAAGACTGCATTTTCCACTGTTCAGGAGACCAAGGGCAAAGTGATGATTTCTAATGGATTCGTCTGCCAAGCCAGCCACAATCCAAGATGGTATTGGGAAAGCAGGCATTTCAAGTCAGGGTACTTTAATGTAGTACCCTGGGACAAAAGATTTTGAACACATTCCTTTGTACATAGAAACAGCGCGAGTCAGAAGGGGCCTCCCGGGCCATCTAGTCTGACCCCCAGCTCCAGTCGGCTCCACTCACGACATGCCCACCATGTGCATGTCCAGCCTATCTTTGAGCACCCTCACCGATGGGGCCTCAATGACCCTCTCGTGGGAGCCCATACGTAATGCAAATGCCTGAGGGAAATTATTTTCATAGCTTCTATATAGCCTGAAGTGCCTGATCTTTGAAGTGCAGCAAGGTCAGGCCTGGTTGAAATCTGGATGGGTGATCTAAATGTTGTGAATCACCCTGAGAGCTTTGGCTACAGGCAGTATAGACATGCAGTGTAGCAGCAGCAGCAATATCTGAGCCACTGTGAAAAGTAATTCCAGTGCTGGGACAAAAGGAAACACATTGGCAACTGACTCAAGAATACAATTTTGGAGACGGGCAAAAAAGCGAACTTAGAAGCATTAGTAAACCCAGTCTAGTTTGGCATCAATTTTATGTTTTAGCTGCCTATGAACTGGGGCATTGGCTTAAGCTCTGGAAATAAAAGGAATTCCCCTATTTCTCAAGGAAGCAAGTGGCCATCCATATAAGTTAGTGATTTACTGTCACCATCTGTAATATAAAGCTGGTTTAGGAATGGCTGCATGATAGTTAGGTAGACTTTTGCTAAACAGAATGCTTAAGAGCATGCTTAACTAAGATAAAACCTAATGTTCATGTGGAAAGTCTACAGTGAGAAACAGTGGTGGTCAATGGCTTCAAACAAATGCAGCTTGTTGATTCGCCTTGTCTACTCCTTCAGTATTTCAAGTTAATAATGGCAACTTGTGACTGCTAGGTGCTGTAATTTGGATTTTTTTTAAATATGTAGTAAACTTGTAGTAAACTATGCAAATCCTTCTACAAGATATGGAAGGAAGGTATCCTCAAACTAGATCTCCCAACAAGCAGATTCTATTATTTTACCTCTGGGCTTCAAAGCTGCCAAATTCTGCAATGGCAGCTGGCTGAGCTCAAAGGGCATTCCTGCCAGTGTTTGTAATTTGCTTCATGGAGCTCTGTTTTGCCACAGAAATTGCAGAGCTGGGGTGAGCACAATGCAGACTGGGCTCATCATGCAGGGGTTCTGTTAAAGTTATGCTATACATTTGTCCTATGCAACTTGGATGAAGCCCCCTGCACCTTCCTGGAGTAAAAATACATAGAAAAAGATGTAGATGTAGCTGCTAGCTATACATTTAAAGAAACACCTGATTTGGCCCTGAGCCTTGCTCCTCAAAGCTACCATCTTCTGCAATACCTAAACTGAAGGCATAACCTTGTCAATACTTCTCTAAGTTGCCCTTCCAGAAAAATTAGAAGTCCTGTGTGTTTGGCTTATACCAAACCAGACCATCAGTCTGTCTAATGCAACCTGGTCCACTCTAACTGGAGGTGGGGGGGTGCTCTAAGGTCTCAGGCAAAGTTCATCTGCACCTCTTGCTACTCTTTACATATGTCTTTGGTGGCTAAGAAGGAAAAGAAAGTTGGATTGACTATCTAACTGGATGTGCTAATTTTAGTAATGCTGTGATTGCGTTAGGATCCTGCTGCTTTAGTGAAGCTTTT